GCTGAGGACGAGGGAGCAGAGCTCCGAGCTGCCGGGCAGCACACAAACACACGACGGTATATTGTCTGTGAAAACACCCGTCACCGGCGGAACAATTGCCCCCTGCGCAAGGTGCGTCAAGTTTTGCCCCAATTCCCACCATTCTGGCTCGTCGCGGGTAAACGACACCACCCAGTAGACGCGGGGCGACCAAACGGGGAAGAAGTGAGTTCTGCTGAGCCTCAGGGAGGTAGGTCAACAGGTCCAACCCCAAAGAGCTCCGTGCTCTTGAGCACGGAACGTGTATGCAAACCGGGCTTGCTGGTCGTGGAGGCGACCGTACGTTTGAGTGCGTTTACTGTTGCTGCCGCGTCAAACGGGGGCAAGGGCTTCGCTTCGAGAAGTTATGAAAGATCCTCATCGATTCCGAAGCATCGGTCAATTATGCTCGACGCTCCACGATGGAAGGATATCAGCTGTATGCTGAGGCGCTGGAAGCGCGGTTGGGTGACATCGTCACTGTTCGCCTAGCGACGGGGACGCGTGTCACGGTCTCGAAGGTCCCCGTGGACCTCGGAATCAAGTTTCTCGACTTTGATAGCGTGAAACATTGTCTAGTCTTAGACCGGGATGCAAGGTATGACCTCATCCTAGGAATGGCACGGTTGGAACACCATGAGCCATGGATTGATTGGAGGTCAAAGACGTCGGGCGCTACGCGCACGTCTCCTGGTGGAGCTTGGTGACTCATGAAGCCACCTCTGCTAAGAGACAAAAGCGCTATTGGCGAGAGCGCTGGACCGAGACGGTCAACGTGCTAGACATTGGAATGTCCGAGTTGGTAGACACCAACAGAGTACTGGACAGGGGTCCCGAGCGTGGCTCGCGGGCTGATCCTGGAGTGGCACGTAACCCACTGAGCGCTGCTCAGGTTTCGAAGCAGTCGCTGCGTGTCATGCGTGACATGGTCGGACAGAGTCCGAGGCATCTTGGGCACGGTCCTTCAGATGCGCGTGGAGTGGCACGTAAACCACTGAACACTGCTCTCGTTGCGAAGCAGTCGCTGCATATCACGCGTGACATTGTCGGCCAAGGGCCGAGGCATCGAGTGCGAGGCCCCCGTAATGCACGTGAAGTGGCATGTAAACCACTGAGCACTGCTCATGTTGCGAAGCGGTCTCTGCATGCCATTGATGACGTGGTTGGACAGATTCCGAGGTTTCGTGGGCACGGTCCTTCAGATGCGCGTGAAGTGGCTCGTTATCTACTGGACGAAGACGAGCAGCTCTTTGTCGGATGTTGTAGATAACATCAGAGCACCAATGGAGCGGACAGTGAGGGTGACATCAAACGACGCGAAGTGCGTTCTCACCCTGGTCTCGCCGAGACATGGAACCTCTGTACAGAGGCGACGGCGACGAC